AACAGCCGCGACGTCCGCCGGGCTCACCAGCACCGCAAGGGACCCGGCGGCGGCGGCGGCGCCTTCCGCGGCCAGGCGATGATGGTATGGGGTTTCCGTTCCTTTCGTTCCTTTCTTCCTGCGGGAGGTGGTGGTGACTGGGGGGTGGGCCGGCCAGGCCAGGCCAGGTGTTGGCGTCGCCCCTCTCCGCGCCCCTCTCCCACCCCTGGAAGGCGCCGGCGGCGGTCTGGGAGAGGGCGCTGCGCGCCGTGCCCGGCATCGCCTTTGCGCCGCGGGACTTCGGCTCCCGGCCGCGTGCTTGGAGCGGCTGTTTCAAAAGCGGATGCCTTGAAGCTTTCGGAGACGGTGGGAATGGGTGGGTGGGTGTCCTGACGAAGGCTGGAAACTGGAGGGCTTTACTCCCGGCGAAGGCTGACGGCCGCAAGGCTGAAGCTAGATGATGATGATCTCGCCTGCCCCTCCGCGCCTTGTGAACTTCTCCGTCGGTGGGACTCTTGGCTTTAGACCGGACGTGGCTTGGAAGACTAGATAGAGATTTATGAAGCGTTGGGTGTTTAGCCTCTGCATCAACGCGTGAAGGCTTCTGAGCTGGTCATTCGTGGAGCAGACCCCAAAGGAGCCCACACTCCAGTTGGTGGTATGGTGTTGAAGGAGGATTTGAGAAATCCCCCAGCTGAGTCCTCCTCAGGGCTTGACCTTGGGCCAGTCCCTCTGTCAGCCTTCCCTCACAGGGTTGTTATGAGGATGCAAGAGGGACTGAAAGGGACCTACCTGTATGTTGTCCGGTGGATGCAGATATGACAGTAATAACCAGCTTGCTTAAGGTTGTTGATTTCAGTGGGTCTGTTCTGAGGAGAAATGAAATCTGACTCCCACCTGTTCTTCTAAGGAACATACTTAAAGGTCTGATTAGCTAGGAGTGGGAGAGGCTGCTCTGTTCTCCCTTGTGTTGCTTAGATGGAAGGAAAACAGCAGCCGGGTTTTAAAGAAAGACTTTATATACAGTGAAGTGCTGTAATCAAGCCGTCACAAAGTGGGAGTATGCTTTGAGTCTTGTGCCTCCCCCCCCCATCAAGGTCACTATATGCCCCATTCCCATGATGATGAATGCTGGTGTCATAGACAATGAGGGATAAATACAGGCCCTCTTCTCTGCATATTTAAGCTTTTCAAATGGAGTTGGTTATTGTGTAAAATCTGTGAAATGGACTGCTTCCTGCTTGACTCTTGGCACTCATTGTCTTGCTCGTGCAAATGCTGATTGTATGAAAATGCATATATTCCTCTTCAGCTTGTGCCTTGGGGTGGGTTTAGGCATCTGTCTGTGGAACCAGAGGTTGGGAGTTCTCAACACAGTGGACAGGGGCTGGGCTTGATGGCCCACAGGGTCCCTTCCAGCTCTGCAGTTCTAAGGTTATTATCTAAGATTAAGTGATGGATGGACATTCTTCCAAGTCATACTTACAGATTTATTACTAGAAGGTGTCCTCTCTTTTAACATGGGTATGACCAAGATTTCCTTTTAGGCAAAAGAAATTTCTGAAAGCTGGAAGTGGATGCTTGCTGTCCTGTAATTTGTGTTTCATTGCATCCTTTTGCTTGTCGTTTGGCACATATTCTGATGTTATTGTCAGTGCACGCATCTTTACATCATGTAGGAACTGCTGCTCTCTGGATATTTAGACTGTATTTCCCATCGGTACCAGGTTTGGTATAGGGGATAGAGAAGGCTAGGACACAGGAGTCTTGGGCACTGATAAAACTGCTTCTTAAATATCTCACATAACTAGGTGGATAGTTCAGTGAGTTCGACATCTGGCTATGAGGCCAGAGGTTGGGAGTTTGCTTCCCCACTCTGCCTGCTAGGAGAAGAGCCAGCCTGGGTGGCCTTGGGCAAGCTGCACAATTCCAGGATGTCTCCCAGAAGAAGGGAAGGGTAAAGCACTTCTGGGTACTCTCTACCTGGAAAACCTTGGAAAGGGTCACCAGTCAGGATTGACTTGATTGCACACAATTAATTAATTATTAAATATCTCACATACCTTGTTAAAACCATGTTAGGGATTCTATGAGTTGAATGTAACTTGATGGCACATAACACATATGTGCACACAGTTCCTTTCATCTACAGTCATTAGGCATGTTGTGCCACCAGTGAGACTGAGTTCAAAGGAAGGCACAGACTTGAAGGAAGCTGTTCCAGAGGGCCAGAATAATATCCAGGCATTATCAAAATGAGGCTGCTTCAAGGGTGAGAATCTTCACTCTACAGTATGTATTATCAGGAAATGGGGAAGTCGGTTACTTTCATTGTCTCTTGCACTTAGTTCAAACCAAAATCAAGGTATTTTTCTCCCAAATCTTGAACTGAAAAATGAAGCAAAGTTCACTCATCTCTTTCATACCTGTGAAAGATAAGCCTTGCAGGAAAAAAAATTACTAAGCCACTACTAACATGGTTGAATAGGCAAGGACCTTAACAGAGACTCTTGAGCATTATAAGCCTTGGGCCCAGGTGGACAAATTTCTTCTCTCATGTTGAGATATTCCAGTGCTAAAACTCTTTCCATGAGGAAATTGAATATGACAATAGTGAGTTTTGGAAACAGAAAATGAACCGAACTGAAATTATACAAAATGAACCAAATCACTGTCCTGTGTTGGAGCCCTGCTGCGTTTATGGCGTAATTTAAACATGCTTTGCACAGTCTGGTCTGCTTGTGTTCTCTGTCTTCACGAAATAATCAGGCATGGGCGGAAGCTCGCGGTGGTGCTACATTATAAATATACATTTTTGTAACATTTATTGTACAGAGACGTTAAGTTTTAGTGGATGACAGGCTGTCTATGTGATCAATGTCATCAATTTCCCGTGTATTCCAACATCAGTATATGCAAATTTATTTTTGTTTGTTCTTCATAAGAATTTGATCATATTTTGAATGGTTCTTTGAAAATGGGATGCAGAAAAACCGAATGTGAGAGAAAGCAAATGTGGCTGGTTTGTCTGTCCAGGCTGGAGATGTTGAGCGCTTATTTCATAAGTATCTGTATCTGTACATTTAATTGTTTTTATGGTGCTAAATTAAAGGTACCCCTTCTCTTTTTCTCACAGGTTTCTCATTTTTAATAGCTATTTAGCAAGCAATTGAAACAGGATTTGCTCCATTTTGGGAATAGCTGGGCATCTTGAAGTTGATGTCAAGGTACAATTTTGTATGGCTTGTTTTCCACAAGAGCTTACCTGAGTCACAAATCTTTCCATAAATTCAAAAGGAGGAATATAAGGCTTTAAAATATGAATGTGGGAGAAATTCAGACTGACAGGTTTGTCTATCCTGGCTTCAAGGCAGACTCCTGAAAAGAATCAGAGCAATTCTACAGACACATAAAAACATTTACTATCTTCTTGGTTTCTGAAGAAGAATTTATTTATTTGTGATGGATTTTCTTTTAAAAATTGTGCTGCTGTTGAATCTTTAGTGCGATTTTGAATTGGGAACTGCCCAGTCTAGTTTTAAACACTATTACTGGTCAGAAAACCAGCATATTTGAAATTCAGTGTGAATCTATGTTTCTGTAATAAGATTCTTATAGTTCTTTATAACTATTTTTAGTTAGCCTGATTGGTGGATTTCTTGGGATTTTTCAGCTTTTCAGAACAGGACTGCATTGTAGTGGGGGAAATCCTAGCTCCTGCTATGGTCTTGGTGTTTTGGAAATTTTGCTTCTGATTTTAGAAAGAGGAACTCCAGATATGTGTGTTAATGAGCAGAGATGTGAGTTTTATTTGCAAACATTGATTAGACTGTGGAACATTATTTTTTTAAAGGTAATCAGTTGCTTGTTCCTTAGAATCATAGAGTCATGACGTTGGAAGGGGCCTATGAGGTCATGAAGTCCAACCAACAACTCAGGGCAGGAAATCAAAACCTTGCTACATCACCACTTGTTCAGAGTTAACAGTGACCTGTTGGAACTCTGCTATGGACAATTTACTTGTTGGTTTCAAGCATTTTTTAAAAACCACTTAGAATATGCAGGGCAAATATCTGCTTGAAAATGTTCTTGGAATGGCAGGAAAAATTACTCATTAAATTTGAAAAAAGTAATGGTGCTGATCATTATGCTACTTTAAAATATTATGTAATTATGCACTTGTTACTGCTTAAAGTAGTTTATTACAAGTGATGCTTTTATCAGTAAAATTTTGCTTTCAATGTCAACTGTTAATTGTGTATATATACATCTCTCTCTCTCTGTATACATACATGTACATATACATTTGTGCATTCTTTCCTTGTAGCCTTGGAACTTTTTTCAACTGACTTTCAGGCATAGAAGAGTCCTTTACTATTGCTATTGCTCTCCCTTTCAGCTGTGTATGTTGAAGTGAAAAGCATGGGGTAGACCAACAGCATTTTGGCTTCTGACTTGCTTCAGAGCACATGAATCCCTGGCTCTCTCTATTGCATTTATTTTAATCCACAACTTTGACTTTACCTTTTGACACTGCATAACAGCTCATTGAGTTTGGGAAAGGGGGTAACCAGGAATGCCAAGCAGAAATGGGAGTAGTACTTGGGGTTTGTAGTCCCCAAAATGTGATTTCCCCTCCATCTCTAACACTAATTGATTGCTTGCATTCCTCCCTGTAGCGTTATTGCACACACCCTGTCCAAAATAATGAACCATCAGCATTGCAGGGGATCTAGTTATGTGACAGTGGTGGAGATAAGTGTTGTATAATGGGAATCTCTATTATTAGAAGCCCTCTTTGGAGACTTAATTATTTTGGAACATATCACTTGCTGAGTCCAGATTTTCCTGCCACACATCGTGTTCTTTACAGTGCTGGGATATTTGCATAAGGTCTTTTAATTTGTCCTGGTGTTTCACCTGCCATGGAAGAAACAAAAACATGGTGCATCTGGATCTCATGGGGCAGGTGGCCTTTAATGGGAGCACACATCAGTATTGCTGCGGTGGCTTGGAATTTGGAGTTGTTGTGGGTATTTCTCATTTGTCCTTGATCTTTTCTTTTAGAAATATACTTACTGTGTTTTCCTGAGCTACGTCATATG